TGTTTTTGCTCACTTGCCGGCGTGGTGAGTCCCCCTCCCTGCCTTAGTCTGCGGAGCGCGACCGATGAAAAGGGCCACGCAACGACATTACCATGGTACGGTGAGGAGTAGTCCGGCACGTACCTGGCTATGGTGGCAGACACAGGGTGCCGGAATTGGTATTTGGAAGACAACTCGATCGCCCACGGAAACAAGCAAAGCCTGCATGGCATTGTTTGCACCACCTTGAACGTGTTGTCATGTTGTTCATTTCCCGTCAACACTGCCTATTCTACGCACACTTTCGCATTGCCTTTCAATATGCTCTGCCTTCCGCTTTTAAACATGTTCAGCTCCAATAAGACCGATCACGAGTTCTCAGATCATTCCTGCAATATGTGTCGACGCGCCACCGATTTGAGCCCGCCACGGAATCCGAATACTTGCACATCAAGACCGGCCATGTCGCATCGAGGCCCAGTAGCCCATCTACCTCACACGATAATCAATTCCAATCTCGGCTGCCGAAATCACACCTTCCGGTTGCAATTCAATCGATTCCTGGTGGAGGATCCAACTGTCGCAGTGTTCTCCGTCGACCAAGAAGCGCCAATCTCAAGCGTATGGCGAGACGAAGATCGCCGGGGCTGCTACGGATGGGCCCGAATTTTCTCCGCGTCGCGATCCAGATGCAATGTAACAATGAGTGTCGGACAACACTGGACACTTGGGATTTCGAACAAGTCGATCCGGTACTGGAACATGGAAGAAGGGGTTATCCTAGTGGATTGGGGTCAGCTTTACGATAGCTACTTCAAGCAATTGAAGACGAGGAACCAGGAGAGGTCAACGGCTTTCGCAGAACAGGATTATGGACAGGACGAAGACATGCCACCCAACCGTTCCATGCAGCGAGTATCTCGAAACAATCACCGCCCGGCGACAGCGAACTCGACAGCGCACGAGATTGGCACACGCTTCAGCAATGGTCTAAGGGTTGTGAGAGACGCCATTAGAAGTCGTGTGGGTGAAGGCAGGCCGAGGGGAACAGGACGGGAAAGGATCGCGCTCGCACGCGTCCCTCTGATGTGGACGAACCCGAGCTATCAACGATTGCGATAATAGAGACATTAATAGCCAATTAATACAAGGACATAATGGATTCATGAGCAGCAGGAACCCCCAAAAGTCTTTGACGCCGCCACAAGAGGTCGATGACGTCCGTGTAAACTCTGACGCGTGACGCGTGAACGCCCTCCCGTTTTAGCGACAAAAAAAGTACAACCCCCGCTATAGCCCCGCCCATAACACCAACACCAGCACATCTTTGAAGCACATAGCAAAAGCACCAAAATGTCTACCTGTGTTATCTGCGACAAGCCGCTGGAGGTAGAAGTCGAGCGCGACGAGGACGAAGAGTACGAGGGCGGCGCATCGTCATCCGGCAAAGGACCCGCGGCGGCACCAGAAACATATCCCGATGACGTCCAGCTAACCTGCGGATGCCACTTCCACTGGTACGCACACCTTTTCTGCGCAATCGCACACCATCGCTAACACGCCACGTGCAGGGACTGTCTCCTCTCCGCCTACGAAATAACCTCGTGTCCCCACTGCGGCAAAGAAATCTCCAGCACAGGCGACGGCCAACAAAAGGTCCTCTGCCGACTCAACAACGAAGGCGGAATCCAAGAGAACCTCGATATCCTGCCCCTCCTCACCGAAGAATCATACCTGAAAGCGTACCCGGAAGACAGGAAAGCGCGCGCCTTCCTCGAGTTCTGTCGCGAAGGCGATTACAAGGCTGTTGTCGAGCTGCTGCTGAACGATGACGATGACAGCGAGGACGACGAGGGCGATGTCGAAATGAGCACAACGGATCATCCTGAGAAGGAGGTGGGCATTGATAGGATGTTGAGATACCAGGATCCGATTGGGGATATGCAGTCGGGGCTACATGCGGCAGTGCATGCGCAGAGCAGAGAGGTCGCGTGGCTGTTACTGCTGCTGGCGAGTAACTACCCGCTACTGGACTTCCCGACGCAGGTCTTCCAAGAGGCGGAGGCCATGGGTATTATGAGGGGGCTTACAGAGGACAAGATTGATATCAGGAGTCTGAGGGATGCGAATGGGAGGACTGCGGAGGATATTGCGAGGGAGATTGGTGGGGTCTGGGTGGGATGGACGGACAACAACAGGTTGGCGATATGAGGGTTGTGACAGAGCGTATTTCCCGGGCGACAATACGGTGCTTTCGGTTTGTACAAGGAGGGCTGGGAGTTTAGCACGCGAAGTGCACAAAATGCTGTCCAAGAAGAGAGGAGGTATATGGAACTTGGTGTAATGATTAGTATCACCCTTATGACATACAGGTGCTCAAAACAAAAGCACTTCAGGGCCAGCCTTTCAGTGCGCTTGGTTATGACCTACAATCTACAAGCCTATGACGTCTATTAGGTGCACCTCGTACTATGCGCAAAAGTGATAGTACTCACTAGAGTACTCCCGGTGTTTCCTCCCATACAACCCGCCAACGCCAGCAAAAAGGATGCACGCCAGGCGCGCCCGCCATGCCACCCACATCCGCAAAAAGAATGGTTCGAAGAATCCCGAGCAAGCTCGAGCACGTTGTCCCCTTCGTGGATCGAACACGATACCTCCAGATTTAGTGACTGAGACTTCAGTCTGGCGCTCTCCCAATTGAGCTAAGGAGACGGTTGTGATAGGGAATTGATGGAGAAAATGAAAAGTGCAACCCTAATATCCCAAATTTCACAGCGCAGTCCATGAAACTGAAGGCCAAGAACGGGGAAAGGTCCAATAGTAATCTGTTGTGGCGAAATCAAAACCCTGCGTCGTGATGAAGTACGTTGGTGGGGTGGAAGTGGGGTTTGCACCGTGGGCTAGACTTGGCCAGGCCTGAGACGGGAACTGGGGATGGTACACCAGAGTGGTGATTGGTAATGTAGGAACACTGTATTCGTTACTGTTGTACGTTGCACCTCGGTTTGTCTGTTTCCGGGTCGGGGTTTTCTTGTATAGGTATGCGCGCTACACATCAAGACTGCAAGTTTGACTCTCCTGAGCGGATCACCTAATCAAGTAAGACGCGAGACGTGCGCGCTTATCATACATAAACACAGGATAACGATGTTGAAGTGAAGTGTTGCAATACCAGAATGGCGTCGCACCATAGGCTATGCTTAGGTGCCATCTTTAAAGTGGCTTGTTTGAATTAGGGGGAAATCCGACTTTTAAAGCGCATCAACAGGTGGTTCCAAAGGAGTGAGTGGCAACGCGTCCATGCATTTCCCAAGTCTTTGTCGAATCGGCCAACAGCACGTGTCTGCTTTATATACTCAGTATCTCGGCCAGGTGCTTGTTACACGCGTCGTCTCCCGCTTACGCTGGTCCAACAACTCGTATCTGTGCCCCTGGAAGGTCGTTAATCTTAGGTTCCTCAACACTGAATCACTACCGTCAGTCGGTCACAGAAGAGACAGCCTCTCGGTAGCAGTATGAGAAAAGAAGGCGTATGGTAGCCAATAGTCTGATTCGTGATATATCGATCCCTACGCCTGTGTATCATGCCTCGTCAAATCGCCATACATGGCCGTCCCCTTTCAACTCCTCACTCCTCGCCCGTGGTATCTCATGCTCGTGTAAATAGCAAACTTTGTAGTATCGTCCGTTGTCGTCGTGCACTCGCTCGGAAGTCTGGTCGCTTATTTCACAACACCCTCGTCAGCGTTGAAGCAGACGTCGAACTCCTTGCTGTGCTTGTTGGTTGCGTGATCGGTAAGCATCTTGCGGCTCGTGGTGCCCTGGAAGGTTTGGAAGCAGGTTTTGCACTTGATGGTCTGGGCGGCGGCGTTCTGGTATTGTGTTAGCAGTGCGACTTGTAACGGTGATATGAATGCGGGACCGCGACGTTGCAGGATCGCGCAAGGGAGCGGGGCTACGTACGGCTTTCAGTTGGCTCTTGGCTTCCTTGGGACCGGCATCGCCTGTAGGTTCGGAGTACGAAGTTAGTTACTGTCTCACGGGCGGCTCCTATGGTGGGATGCTAACCCTTCCTGTCGCGTTTCTGCTGCGCTCTTCGAAAAATGTTAGCGAGCGTTCCAGGGCTGCTGGATATATGTAAAGTGGCTTACTTGGCTCCGTTACCCATCTTGTAATTTGCTGATAGTCAGTCGCTGAGTGTGAGTGAAGATATGTGTCGAGGGCGATCAAGATCTGAGGATTTATTCGTGTGAAGGCTGGTGGTTCTGCGAGATTATTTGCGACGGCGGGGAGGGTCCAGGCCGTTTGGTCGAAAGGCGGTGTTGGCACTTCCGGCGTTAAGCGGCATCGGGTTAGGTCCTCCGCGCTATCATGTGAATCTATCTTTCACGCTACCACTTAGGCACAACCTTGGAATCTACTGCCGTTCTGGAATTGTGTCGAGTCACGTCCCCTAGAGCATCTGTCGGGTACTTAACACTTCCATCGCGCGGTAGCAAATTACTGGGCTACACATCGTGACGCGCGGCAGCTTTCCACACGCTTCACGTTTTATCCCTGGACGCGATCTCGGGAGCTAGGTAATGACATACCGTTTAGCAGAACTACATGATAACATATCGCGATGACAGATCGAGAACTACACCTACGCGATGGCTCCCATCCTTACTGTCAGTTAATACATGGCTATGGCAATCTGCAGGTAGCCGCGATCTAGTCTGTCACTAATCCGTAGGTACAAGTACTACATGAACTTGGAAGGCTCTGATAGTACAGGTAGCATTTCTTCAAAGTTCATCTGGGTATCTAACCGTTGTCATATCTTGATTCGAATTTTGCACCGTCACTAAGTCCCTGTGTTTCACACCTTTTTCCTGAACATGGTACAAACGTCCATAAAGCCAGGCAGGTACTCGGTCTTCATTCTCGTTTGCTTTGCTACCTAACATCCTCCCTCTACACCATGAACTCTCTCTCAATCTTTCCTTAACACCTAATATCAATATTCCCTCAACATCATGGCCCACAGCCACAGCAACCACGAGCCAGGCCATCACGCGTATGGGCACAAGCATGGTCGCTTCCAAGTCAGTCGAAAGACCCGCCTCAGGGCTGTGATAGCTATTTCCTTCTGTTTCTTCGCCGCCGAAATCTCCGTAGGTTTCTATACATCATCACTTGCCCTGGTGGCTGATGCCTTCCACTATGTGAGTCCCGGATCATCCTACATGCCTACGTTGTACCTTCCTTGCGTCAAGCCACTAACACTCTGTCCAGCTCAACGACCTCATCGGATTCATCGTGGCCCTGGTAGCTGTCCAGGTGACAGAGCGCAAGACTTCACCTCCAGATCTCTCCTTTGGTTGGGCGCGGGCCTCACTCCTCGGCGCCTTCTTCAACGGCTCTTTCCTTCTCGCCCTAGGTGTCAGCATCACACTACAATCTATCGAGCGCTTCATCTCCATTGAACACGTCGACAACCCCAAACTAGTCCTGATTGTTGGTTGTGTTGGCCTAGCTCTCAACATCATCAGTGCCTTGTTCCTACATGAGCATGATCACGATCACGGCCCTGGTAGCAGCGGCGACGAGGAGAGCATGTCACTTGCGCCAATGCATGCCAATCACCTGCACATATCCGCGAAACCAAAGAAGCACGGAATGGATCTGGGTATTCTCGGAGTTCTCATCCACGTTATCGGCGACGCGATCAACAACATCGGTGTCATCATCTCCGCAGTCATCATATGGTTCGTCAAGTCGCCTAATCGTTATTATGCCGACCCAGCGGTTAGTATGTGGATCGCCATCATGATTCTTCTTACCGCAATTCCCCTCACGAAGCGTAGCGGAAAGATTCTGCTTCAGTCTGCACCCCTGGGCGTCAAGATTGAAGATGTCAAACACGATCTGGAGGCCATTCCTGGTGTGCTTAGTGTGCACGAACTGCACGTCTGGCGTCTGGATCAGAAGAAAGCTGTCGCATCAGCACATGTTGTGGTCAGTGACCCTGATATCGCGAGCTTCATGAGCAAAGCCAAGATTTTCTCTGAATGTCTGCATGCGTACGGCATTCACTCGGCAACACTCCAACCTGAGCTGGCATCCGCTTCGGACAGGATCCATGAGGTTGAAGCTGGGGGCAGGGAAACAGCCGAAGGCGTCACAAGTTCAACGCAAACAGCACGAACGAGTACCGAGACTTGCGGTGTGCCTTGTGGTGTAACTTGCGAAGAGTTGAAGTGCTGCACTTGAGTTCCGAAGTAGCTCGATTTCGGAATCAGTTCCGCAGTCCCTGCATAAGCTTACGAGGACGCGTTCAGATACCCCACTATGAGCATCCAAGCTGAGCTTCAGCTTCACGGTACACAATCATTAGTATAACGAACGACATATGAACAGATAGCCGAAACTTCTCCTAATAGAAACACATTCTCTTGTCCTTTCCATACCTTAAATCTCATCCATCATCCACTCAGCCCATAATGTCCACCAAAGAAATCCACAAGTACGGCACCGACGATGGCTGGCACGGCATCATCCAAGAAGGAGGTGACTTCCCACCCGAGAAAGACAGATACCACCTCTACATCGGTAAGCCCACACAAAACCATGACACCATACCAAAGCAACACTCACGCCGACGTATCACCCAGGCCTCTTCTGCCCCTTCGCCCACCGCCCAAACCTAGTCCGTCACCTCAACCACCTCCAACCCTACCTCCCCACCTCCATCGTCCGCCCCTATCCAAAGGGCGAACCCGGCTGGCGCTTCGACGCCAGCTACCCCAACGCAACACCCGACCACCTCTTCGACAGCCAATTCATGCACCAGATCTACTTCCGCGACGACCCGGCCTATAAGGGGAAATACAGCGTGCCGTTACTGTGGGATAAGAAAAGCGGCCGTATAGTAAACAATGAGAGTGCTGAGATGCTGAAGTGGTTGCCAAGAGCTTTTGATTCTGTGTTGGAGAGTGAGGGGAAGGACGTGGGACACAATTTCTACCCTGAGGAGCAACGCGGGAAGATCGATGAGATTAGTCCGTGGTTGCAGTCGCTGATTTGCGCGGGCGTGTATAAAGCGGGTTTCGCGCCGACTCAAGAAGGCTACGAGAAGGGTGTTGTTCCGCTTTTTGCTGCGCTGAATCGACTGGAAGAACTTGTGCACACGAACGGCGGTCCGTATATCCTCGGCGACAAGCTGACTGAACTCGATCTCCTGGCTTATCCGACGATCGTCCGTTTCGACACGGTATACTCGCAGCATTTCAAGACGAATCTGGGTTCAATACGCCATGACTACCCTGTCCTGAACAATTGGCTGAAGAACTTGTATCACAATGTTGAGGGGTTCAAGGAGAGTACGGATTTCAAACATATCAAGGAGAATGTGAGTGGAACTGCTCGGGTTCATACAGGGTGCTGTGATGGCTGACTTTGATTGCGCGCACAGTATACGAAGAGTCATGGCGATATCAACCCGCTCAGTATCACGCCGCTGGGACCGCATCCGGACGTGGAAGAGGGGTATGAGAAGGATTGGAGTAAGTTGAAGCCTGGGAAGGTAGCGCATCCGCGGGTCTTGGAGGAACAGAGCAAGCTTTGAGGGAACGTCGGCGTGAAAGAGATGAGTGAAGTCTTCGAGGATACCGGAGCGGACGAAAATGGTAGGTCTGAAACAGATAGTGGTATTCTTTGGTATTCCATTCGCAACGAAATTTTGGGTCATTCTTGCCCTTTATCCATAATATACATACCGCGCATCGCCGACGGAGTATTTTGTTTACACACACATAGCCGGTCCAAATTCCCATCCGAGACTCTGTAGTCCATCTACTGCGTCTTCTTTGTGCTCTTCTCGCTGGGCGCACTGTACAGCCAAACGGCTACAAATGCCAGCCAGCCCAAGACGGTGACCCAGATACCGCCAATCCAGACCCACGCACCGCTAATCTCGAAACTCCTTGGGTACTCGTCGTGCGCAAAGTGCCTGACGGTGACCTGCCTCTTTTCGTCAATGTTGGTGACAAAGGGGCGGCGGTAGTTGACGCGGAAGTTGAAAATGCCGTGCTGGTCGGGTGTCCTGAACGCGACGCCGAAGATGGTTGCGTTCGCGGTCTGTGCGATTGGAGAAAGGTTCAGGCGTTGGAAGGGCGAGAGCATGCTGAACTCAAGCTGGATGTTATCCTTGGGCGAGGGGACGAAGGGAGCGAGGTGATCGTTCGTGTATTCGGATATCTCGACTTGGAAGTGCTATGTCTGTTAGTACCTTGGTCTTAAACGCGGTTTCACCTAACTTACGACGTCGGTCTTGATACGGTAGATGCCAGGGTTGTTTTCGGGAATGGCAGTGCTGGTGTTCAACTTCTTGCTGGCACCCTCGTCCTGGTAGTGGAGGAGCTTGCCAATCTTCAGCACACCCGTCTCCTTGAAGGTCCACTCAGAAAGCTTCTGCGCGAACTCGCGGTTGCCAGTCGTGATAGCCTTGTCGCCCAGCCTGGCCTTCTCAGCGAACCACTTGTTCTGGAGCATCTCGGCTGAGCCGACAACTGCCAGACGCGCCGCGTTGTTCGCCTGCATCGCAGAGACGACGTTCAGCTGCTCGCCAACCGCGAAGGGGTCCTCAACACCGTCAGTCTCATCCTTGGGGTTGTAGCTGTAGGCGGTGCTGGGAGCGCGGAGGATAGGCGAGGTAAGAGGCGATTCGTTTCCAAGAGCCTGGCCGACAGCGCGTGGCACAGCAATGTATCCCTCGCCAGCGAAGTAGTTCTTGACATCTGGCCTGAGCGTCTTGGGGAACGGAAGGAGCAATACGTCGTGCTCTTCCTTCGCCGATGACGCATCGTAGTTGAAGTGGTCAACAACCAATGCGCCCTTGTCCGCTGGGATGTTGATGTCGACTTCGAGAAGCATGGCCTGGACGGCGGTAGGGATAGCGTATTCGCTCGAGAGGGCAACCAGAATGTTCCCATCCTTCTTCATGAACTCGAGGAGGTTGTTCGCGGTGAGGGCAGGGCCGAGGCCTTTCGACTTGCCGGGGAGGAGGAGGACATGGTCGTATGCTCGTTCGCCATGCTTCAATAATGAGAGCTTGCTCTCTTTTGGTGATTCGACAGATGCGGTATATCCCCGGGCTATACAGTCCTGTCAGCATTGGCTCGCTATCAGTGGATTCGATTGAGCGTCATCTCCTGCGCAAGGCCAAGTTGCAAGTTCGATGGCTTCGGAGCTTTGTCAATGCCTCGTCTTTGCATCGCACCTTGCGCAAATAAAAGACACCACAACGTCTCCAGACATGATTGAACTAACTCATAACTTACACGTCAAGTCCTCCAAGAACACACTGTACTTCTCCCGCTCAGCCTGCTCCTCCAGCACAACCAGCAAGCGGTTGCCAGTGAAACTCTTGGCCTGGACCACCACCGACCAGACGAAGGCGACGGTAAAAGAAAGTAACCACCTCATCTTGTGGTTGATCGAAGATTGGACTTGTCGAGTTGCGCCGGCGTGTGGAGAGCTGTAACGGAGATACGTATGCTTTTGCCAAGCCCATCGGTCCCGGAAAATCGCTGCACGCCGATTGGAGTGCGGAGGTGAGTGAGCTACGGGCTGCGACCTCACGAACACCAGACTCGCGCCGACAACTTGCGATTGCGACACCAGACTGAGGCATTGAGCCTGCTGATTACCGGATCTACCGACGCACGACCAGGGATAGTCTACGTACGCGCATACTTGCCTTGCGACTCCGAATCACGCGCTCACATACCAGCAGCAATACAGCGACCATGTCCGGCATTCCCCCCTCCCCGCGCTTCTTCCAGCAGCCGATACGCTACATGAAATGGGCCTCTATCAACAAGCCGGCATACTTCTACTCCATCATGGTCGGATGCGCTGGTCCCATAATGGTCGTTACCGTTCCCCCGATTCGGAGATATATGGGCGAGGAGCAGATCCCCAAGATCCCTATGACATACCCAGGTACGTGGCGGATGGAGAGAATTGGTTGCTAAGATATTCGGTGGACTGGATATGGAAAATGGGGAGAAATAGGACGATTTGCTGACTTGTCACAGTACCAAAGGGACAACGGCCGAGACCGACGGGCTTCGATGACGAGTAGAGGATATCAGGGGAGATGGAGGAGACAACGGGAATGAAGCTTTCACTCGGATTCAAGGAGATATCAAGTCAGAATATTCCCTTTCACTTCAATACACCATAAGAATACAGTCAAGAATCATCATTTTTTGTCTAACCGTGGAGGCAGTCGAGCCATTATCAAGAAATTCCCATGCCCTCATAGACCCTTTTGCCGACTACAGACAACCCAATACCGCATTTCCGTCCAGCCAAAGACCCGTTTGACGCCGACATACGAACCTAACCCTCACTTTTGAAAAACCACACAACGCCCAGGAGGTCCTCACGGCATCCTGTGAAGCCCAAAACCAGCCCAAAAGTACCGCCTGGCGGATACCTCAATCCAAAACCTAATCAATCTTAGCCCGCTTACCCCTGGTATCCTCCTCATCATCATCACTCTCAAACTCGACCGAATCTTCCTCCTCCTCACCCTCCATACTCATACTCCTCTCCTGATGCATTCTCGCGGTATCCAAATTCTTGCGAGCAATGTCATTGCCACCGGGCTTGTACGCCCTCTTCGCCGGAAGAACCCTAGGACCCTCGCTGTCCTTGTCCCACGGGTAATCGCCCTTGTCGAACTCAGTACAAGTCAGATACTCAACAGGGAAGCGATGGATATCCAGCTGGCAGGTTGATTTGAGGATCTTGTGCTGGTCGACTACGGTCTTCATGCACTCCTTGATCTCGAGCAGATGGTTCTCCAGGACGTTCATGGCTTTCTTTGTCATGGGGAATTTGGTGTGGAACTGGTTGATGACGGATTTGTCCATGTAAGATTCTCCTGCTGTGCCGATCGCCTTGTAGAGTTCGAAACCGCAGTCGGGAGCGTGGCGGCCTTTGTCCATGATGAGACGCTGGCCGATCCAGTGGCGGAAGAAGGTCAGTGCTATCCAGACGAGGATGTCTTTGGCGTAGGCTTCGCGCTTGATCGGTAGGTCTTCGACGGGGAGGCGCATGGTACCGGGATAGAGGGACATGACGGCTAGCTCGACGGCTTTGCACTGGCCGAGCATCGCGCGGTGGTACTTCTCGAGCAAAGCGCGTAGACCAGGGACTTCACGGAGGTAGTCCAGGGTGCTGCGGGAAGCCTTCAGGACCCT